CCTCCTGTTCTACCAAAAGCTTCTCTCTCTCCCCAGATGTCCATCCACCTTCTACGGGAAGGTGATTCCTATTCCCATGTGCTGCTGATGAAGGGTGCTCCAGAGAGGATCTTGGATTTCTGTACCAGTATCCTTCTGGATGGGCAGGAGTACCCACTGAACAACGATATGAAGGAAGAATTCCACAACGCCTACTTCCAGCTGGGCGGCCTGGGGGAGCGTGTGCTAGGTGAGGGGCTGTGGAAGACACTTGGAAGAATGACATCGAAGTGTTTGTGATTTGTGGGGTGAAAAACTGAGGGTGTTGGAGTGAGCAGGATAAAGACTACTGATCCCTCCCTTCTGTCTCTCTCCAGGATTTTGCTTCTTGAATCTGCCTAGCAGTTTCTCCAAGGGATACCATTTCGATACAGATGAGATGAATTTTCCCATGGATAACCTCTGCTTTGTGGGCCTTATATCCATGATTGACCCTCCCCGAGCTGCAGTGCCAGATGCTGTGAGCAAGTGTCGCAGTGCAGGGATTAAGGTGAATACCTACCTGCCCCAGAGGCCCCCACCTATTACAAGTTGGAGTGGCTACCAGACAGCCTTACTCAGAGTAGGTGCTTAATAACCTTGATTAATTGATTACAAGCCTTGGGCTTGTAATTTTTTCTTATGAGATACTAATAAGTTTTCTCTCTAGTTAGACTTCTACTTGCATTGAACATTAGAATCACCAGGGTAGCTCTAACAATCGGATGTCTAGGTCACATCCCAGACCAATTTAATTAGAAACTCTTGGGATGGGACCCAGGGCAACTACACTTTTATTTTTGGGGGGAAGGGGACAGAGTCTCACTATGTTACCCTTGGTAGAGTGCAGTGGCATCCCAGCTCACAGCAACTTCAAACTCTTGGGCTTAGGCGATTCTCTTGCCTCAGCCTCCCAAGTAGCTGGGACTATAGGCACCTGCCACAATACCCAGCTGTTTTTTGTTGCAGTTGTCATTGTTGGTTAGCTGGCCCGGGCCAGGTTCGAACCCGCCAACTTTGGTGTATGTGGCAGGCACCGTAACCACTGTGCTATAGGTGCTGAGTCAGCAACTGCACTTTTAAAGACTTTCCTAGAGATTCCAATGAACAGACACACTTGAGAACCAGTGTCTTACGTGGTTCTTGTCAAACTGATGTGGATGTGAATCCCTTAGGGAATTTTTTTTTTTTTCCAAATAGGGATCCTGATTCAGTAGGTCTAGGGCATGCTGGGCTTCGGGGCTTTTTCATAAGTTCCCAGGTGATGTGCTGCAGCTGGTCTGCAGACTATGGTAGAAACAGCAAAGTGCTGGAAGATGTCACTGCTGGGACAGGCTGTGAGAGGGAGGCCGTGAGGGTGGGGAGTCTGCAGCAGGTAACAGTGAGGACAAGACCCTGAGAGCTGCAGGAGCCCTGACAGGTACGTGTCTAGAAATAAAAACTGGAAACCAAAACAAAATGCATCGAGAGTGCAATTCAGCAGAACAGACCCAGAGTTGGAAAGTCCTTTTTGGTCAGGGCGGGCCTTGGGCTTCATGGGTTGACAGCAATGGAATTCCTCCAATTCTGAGCTATTCTGTATCCCACATCTCCCAGGTAGAGTTCTGAGACTCAGACATGTCTTTGCCACTTGAATGTTGACACCTTTCCTGTTCCTACCTCGTACTCCGGCTCACCTGTGTGTTCTGGCCGGGTTAGAGGAGAGAGAGAGTACAAGGCGTTAAGGAGAATTTGATGCTCACTGGTAGTGTTGTGTTTATATTAGACTTGTGACTGTTGGCAGTTTTTCTAGGGGTCAACCTGTGTCATTACGAGGTCAGATGATTACGTTCATGAATTCATCCCAGGAAAAGTGCTACCTGCCTCTGCTGAACAACACGATGATTACCTTCAAAGTACGCCCCTTGGAAAGCCATGCACAGATGCCTCCACCTAATCCACGATTCAAAGCACTTTCTCTAGGATGAGCTCTGAACTTGTCAGACCTCATACAACAACAGCTCTGATGGCCATTCCAGAAAAAGAGTTCCAAAATTGCTGTTTGTGCTGAAAGGAGAGTTGAGAATCCTGGACTCAGGGTAGTGATCACTTCTTTCCTTCATTTGACGATTATTTGTCGATGGCTCAGTATGTACTCAGCACTGTGACACACCAAGAAACTCAAGAGCTCTCAGTCCAGCATGGGAGAGACCAACAGTCAGCCAGCACACAGAAGTGATACGTGCAGAAATACGGAGAAATGGAATGCTATGAAAGCACAGAGCATAAGTGCATGATCTTTGTGTAGGATGGGACAGAACCAGGTAGCAGATATCCAAAAATGAGTTGAAACAAGGAAGGATAAAGTAGTGGAAAGAAGAGAGGTAGAGTGAGGATTTGAATGCACTGAGCCTAGATGAAATTTTGCTAGGCAATGGATTACTGCAGACATTCCTTTATTACCACTTGTTCTATGTGTAGGTGTTTCTGTCTTTGTGCTTAAGGAAGCAGAATCGTTTTTGGAGCAATTAAATGAAATTCTGAATATAGTAATACACTCAAATCTCTGGCTTGTTCCTGGAAAATCTAGAACCCAAATCATGCTAGGTTTTATAGTCTGATAGTCTCAACCCACCCCCAAGGGTTGAAGACACAGGAGCAAAGTTTTTGATCCATGCTACAAGTTCTTGCGAATACACTCCTAAAACCCTCATTGAATGACAGCAGCAGTCTATTAGTTCTTCGAGAAGAAAGAATTGTCCAGGCCTTCTCTGAAGGTGATTCTGCTCCTCTTCCCTCACCTTCCCAACCCAGGTGATCATGGTTACGGGAGATCATCCCATTACAGCCAAGGCCATTGCGAAGGGTGTGGGCATCATCTCGGAAGATTCTGAGACAGTAGAGGACATTGCTGCTCGGCTTAGGATCCCTGCCAGCCAAGTCGATCCCAGGTAAGATCCCTAAAGACCTCAGGTCTGCCATTTTTCTTCCCTCCTCAGCCTGCTCCACCCAGATCCCATTTACTAAAGTTCTAGGAGTCTCCTTCAGCAGCAGGATGTGTGGCGTTTATACATTACAAACTAAAGCATAACAGGAAAATAACCAAGTGACTATGACAGTGGGTGTATAAAGGAGGCAAGACAGAGAAAGAGGCAGAATAAAGAGAAGAGTGGTCAGCACAGTGGGGAGGGAAGGAATGTGTCAATTTGGGGACAGCATAAGGCTGAGGTATAAGTGAGAAAAGAAGAAATAAGGAGATTATGGTAAAATTTGGCGCCAGGACTCCTGGCGAATTCTCAACACTCAAAACAAGCCTTTTGAAATTCTCTTCCCTCAGGGCTGCCAAAGCCGTAGTGGTGCACGGCTCGGAGCTGAAGAATTTAAACTCAGAGCAGCTTGACCAGATCCTCCTAAACCACACTGAGATTGTGTTTGCTCGGACTTCCCCTCAGCAGAAGCTTATCATTGTAGAGGGGTGTCAGAGACTGGTAAGGAAGGCAAAGGAGCCTCAGGAAGCTGGCAGAAATCATGTGGCTTAGCCCTGCGCCAAACCAAGCAGAGAAACATGTGGGAGCCAGAGGAGACTCCAGATAGTATCCCATCTTGGACCTCCATGATGGCCTTCGGTTTGGGGGTTCCTTGATAGTTCAAATATCTTGGGGGAGTGTCAGGGCCCAGGACTGGCCAGGTCTCGGGCCCAGCTCAGGTAGGTTCTGGACGCAGACCACTAAGCTACCTTGCTCAGGAACAGTTTCTCTTAGGTGCTTGAGGGCTATCTACTTTAGCTGGAGAGAGAGAGACAGAGATATCTTAGAGTAAAGGTCTTCTTAGAACAGACAGCTCTTACTCTTTAGCAGAGCTTGGTAATCTTCAGCAGAGACACCGTGCTGGCGTTCTGCAGGCAGGAGAGGAGACAGAGTCAGAGTAAGGGGATCCGTGATAGAATGC